TGTTTGTTTGTTTGTTGTCTGCTTTCTCCCCATTGAATGTAAGATTCATGAAATCCAGAACACAACTTTCTCATTTATAGCTATCCATATTTATTATAAGAATAAATAAATAGAATATTCAAAAAACTGAAAGATACATAGTATGGTTAGTGCAAAGGAGACTGGAAATAATAAGGCAGTGTGAAGCCAACTGATTAAAAGTAGGAGGTAACGGAGAAAACCAAGATGGTGGCATAGGTAAACACCGGAAATTGCTGCTTAGCACAACCACTTCAAGAATACAACTAAAAGACGGAACGGACATTATCCAGAACCACAGGAAGGCTGGCTGAGTGGAAATTCTACAACTAGAAGGAAGGAGACTCAGAGGAGCTGCGGTGCGGAAGTAAAGTACAGAGGTATGGAGGCGCACGCGGAGCGGGCTGGCGGCTGAGAACACGGTTGTCTTTTTCAATTGGTAGGGAGTCTCAACCTCTGAGCTCTAATTCCGGGCGAGTCTCTGGGGACCCAGACTCATACGGAAGAAACTGGACTGTCTGGCATCGGTTGGAACTCGAGGGCAGCTTTCTCTTAGAGGTGCTTGCAGCAATTGCCCAGACACTGAGAAGCAGGGCCTCTGAGGGCAGCCATAGCTGCTTGCTCCGCCCTGTTGATCCCCTGGGACCACCGCCCTGCCCAAGCTGTGCGCTGGCTTTTGCATATGAAAGGCCTGGCCCTTTGCAATCTGAAAATTACCTAACAAACTTGCAGCTGGCCCAAGGCCCCACAGCAACTTGCATTGCTTCACAGCTGAGCTCCTGCTGGGTAGCCTCAGGCGGAGGCTAGATTAGCACCTCCTTAGAGATCCAGGAGCCAGTGTGCCCGGTGGTCAGAGTGGGACCATCCAGACTGCAGCTCCTCAGATCCATAAAGGACACACTCAGGGGTCAGACTCAGTGAGCACCAAAGCCCCACTGAAGCAAGTCTTGCCCCAGAAGAGTGTCTCCAGCTCAGAAGTTCTCCCACTGCAGACACAGCTGATTCTCACAGCCAATTGGCCTGGAGGTCAATTCCTCCCAGTGATACCTACAACAATCAAGGCTTAACTACAACAAGACTATGCACAAAGCCCACAAGGGGGTGCACCAAGAGTGTCCACCTCAGGTAATTGTGGAGGCTGAGCCACTGGGCCCTATAGGACACCTAGCACAGAAAACCACTCTATCAACCCAGGGAAGCATAAAAAATGCAGAGACAAAGAAACAGGACACAAGTGACAGAAATGGAGGAAAGTAAACTACTGGGTATAGAGTTCAAAACCACACTTTTAAGGTTTTTCAAGAATTTTCTAGAAACTGCCGATAAACTTAATGAGATCTACAAGAAATCTAATGAGACCCTCGAGGTTGTGAAAAAGGACCAACTAGAAATTAAGCATACACTGACTGAAATAAAGGATATTATGCAGACTCCCAACAGCACACTAGAAGAGCGCAAGAATCAAGTCAACGATTTGAAATACGAAGAAGCAAAAAACACCCAATCGGAAAAGCAAAATGAAAAAAGAATCCAAAAATATGAAGATAGTGTAAGGAGCCTCTGGGACAGCTTCAAGGGTACCAACATCCGAATTATGGGGGTGCCAGAAGAAGAGAGAGAACAAGATATTGAAAACCTATTTGAAGAAACAATGACAGAAAACTTCCCCTACCTGGTGAAAGAAATAGACTTACAAGTCCAGGAAGCTCAGAGAACCCCAAACCAAAGGAATCTAAAGAGGACCACACCAAGACACATCATAATTAAAATGCCAAGAGCAAAAGATAAAGAGAGAATCTTAAAAGCAGCAAGAGAAAGAAACTCAGTTACCTACAAGGGAATACCCATACGACTGTCAGTGGATTTCTCAACAGAAACTTTGCTGACCAGAAGGGAGTGGCAAGAAATATTCAAAGTGTTGAATGCCAAGAACCTACAACCAAGATTACTTTATCCAGCAAAGCTATTATTCAGAATTGAAGGTCAGATAAAGAGCTTCACAAATAAGGAAAAGCTAAAGGAGTTCACCACCACCAAACCAGTATTATATGAAATGCTGAAAGGTGTCCTTTAAGAAGAGGAAGAAGAAAAAGGTAAAGATACAAATTATAAACAACAAATACACATCTGTCAACAAGTAAATCTAAAAATCAAGTGAATAATCTGATGAACAGAATAAACTGGTGATTATAATAGAATCAGGGGCATAGAAATGGAGTGGACTGACTATTCTTGGGGGGGAAGGGGTATGGGAAATGTGGGAAGAGACTGGACAAAAATCGTGCACCTATGGATGAGGACAGTGGGGGGTGGGGGTGAGGGCGGAGGGTGGAATGGGAACAGGGTGGAGGGGAGCTATGGGGGGGAAAAAGAGGAACAACTGTAATAATCTGAACAATAAAGATTTAATTTTAAAAAAAAAGAAGAAGATAAAGAATAAAAGTAGGAGGTAACATCCATTTAATGAACATTAGGAACTATGTGCCAGATATGTGCGAGGTGCTGAAGACCACATCATATAAAAGATTCTCCTACTGGGGACAATGGATTAAAAAAGGGACAAGACCAGAAGCATGTAGGAGATTTGCAATAATACAGGTGAGAAATCATGGTGGCATGGTTTTAGAAAGTTACAGTGGTGATGGATGGAAACATAGATTCCAGAAAAACTTGAGAATAGATAGAATTGAGAAGACCTGGTGATTTGTTCGTGGTAAAAAGAGAAAGGATTAATAAAACTAGGGTTAACTGGATGGTTGGGGATGCTGTCACAGGAGGATGTTTTGTAGAGAAAAGATGATGAGTTCAGCTTTGAGCATTTTGATTTGGAGATACTTGTGGGATATTTAGCTGGGGATATCTGGTGGGCAGTTGCATATATTGGTCTGACATTCAGGTAAGGGAACTGAGCCTTAGTAGAGATTTAGAAGCTATCTACATATAGCTGATAAATAAAATCATAGATTTAATTAATGCCTAGATAACAGAACTGTGAAAAACACAAATTTATACAAGGTAGGTAGAAGAGACTTTAGCCTGGAGGATACTTGAAGAATCAGTCAAAAGAGAACACAGTTAAAAGGTATGTTATGGAAGGCAAGGGATTAGTGTTTTCATGAGGAAATGATCCACACTGTAAAAAATGTTATCAATGAAAGCAGTTTCACTTAAGAGACAAGGATTTAGACATTCCTGGAAAGCTGAAATATAGAGGAAATAAGATATCAAGCTAAGGAAAAGAGCACAATAACAGCTCAAGTGTGATGTGGATTCAAGGGAGGGATTTTTGTTAGGTACTTTCTTTTAAGGATAAGAACTTTTTTAAGTTGATGACTGGGATGGCAGGTTAAATAAAAAGTTAATGCCAAGAGGAAGAGAGTGTAATGGAGGGAGAGTAGGGGGTGAAGATGAAATAAGATGGACACAATGTATTAGTAACTGTTGAAACTAGGTAAGCACATATTTTGCATTAGTTATATAATGATTTCTACTTTTTAAAAAGCTGCTTAAAATTTCCAAAATATAAAAAAAATGTAAAGGAAGGCAGTGAACCATGTGCCTCCATATACAAGGAAGAGTCATTTTGAAGTTAGTAGATGATAACCAGTAGGTTCTGGCACAGAGTATGTCACTTGGCATGGGCCTGGAAGGTAACATCTGTGTTTTACACACAGAGAAACAGAAAGCTGCTCAGAGCACTGGGCTTAGATGATTCCAACACTTTCCTCCTGACCTGGAGCTTTTGAGCTTTGGGAGAATTAGCACCTTAACTGAAGAGGGTTATAATGGTAGTGTTGCCATCAGAGTATAGACTGGTTTCAATTAGGGAGACTTTCTATAGAATGAGAGTGGTCCTTAAGTTAACTACAAAACTGCATCTATTTTTCTCACAGATTACTGGAAGGTTTTAGGATTCCATCTCTTAGGAATGGCATCCAATGTTCACTGACTTTTTTGTTAATTCAGTATTTTATTCAGTTATACACATTTTCTTTTTTAAATGTATTTTTATTGATTTCAGAGAGGAAGGGAGAGAGAAAGAGAGAAACATCAGTGATGAGAGAGAATCATTGATTGGCTGCCTCCTGCATGCCCCTTACTGGGGATCGAGCCAGCAATCCAGGCATGTGAGCTTAACTGGAATCAAACCTGGGACCCTTCAGTCCACAGCCCGATGCTCTATCCACTGAGCCAAACCAGCTAGGGCTATACACATTTTCAATGAAAGTACTTGAAGGGAAAATTATTTTAGGTTATTACTGTGCATTCAATGTTTAAATCTAAGGACAGTCAATAAGTGAAAATTGAGGAATGTGTATTTCACAAAACACTTCCAAGGAAGAAATGACAGGTTTTGATAACATTTTTGTTGTTGTTGTTAATCCTCACCTGAGGATATTTGTTTTTTTGTTGGTTTTTCAGAGACAGTGGAATGGAGGGGAGGAGGGGGAGAGAGAGAGAGAGAGAGAGAGAGAGAGAGAGAGAGAGAGAGAGAGAGAGAGAGAGAGAGAGAGACACCTGGTAGTGAGAGAGACACATCAACTGGTTGCCTCTTGCCCATGGCCTGACCAGGACATGGAGCAAACCTGAAACTCAGGTACATGCCCTTGATCAGAAATGGAACCTGAGTCCCTTTGGTACATGGGCTGATGCTGTAACCACTGAACCACACCAGCCAGGGCAGGATTTGGTAATTTTTTAAAAGGTATCTTCAAATAAATATTAATGAACAGTCACTTTTTTATGTCAAGAGTCAGAAACCATAAAATTAATACCATTAATTTCCTTTTAAGAGTGAAACAAATGTGACATGTATAATGTATTATGCAGTCAATAGATGGAGCAAGAAACATGTTATATCAACTGGTTACTTAGTAATAAATAACCATTATTGGTTGTATAACTGAAAAATTGTGATTATAGAAGCTTTAAAGCAGGAATAAATTATTTGTTTATAGTTAAAACCTGTTTTAAATTTTAAGGATCATCAGTGGGAAGCAGTCACTGTGCCTGAGGAAGAAGTACAAATATACTACATTAAAGGTATTAGTCTTATTTTCTGATTCTCTTCTTGACTCATCATATGGAGTACAAGTTGGATGCTGTCTGGGAAAACTAAATAGGCTAATAAAAGCAAAGTCAACATTTTCATTATGTTCACCTTCATAAATTTGATGGTTACTTTCCCCCCTCCCACAATCTCCCAGCTCCCTCCTGTACTTATTTCCTTCTCTGTCTAGTCTACAGTCCATGAACAGTCACTTTCTTGTTAATATGTTCAGGAGTCTTGCCCTTCCATAGTATTTTTTCAATTAGATCCAAACAACTGGAACTGCATAATCCTGGTGGACAAAAGCAGACAGTTTGGCAGACTGGCACCACTGCAGGTTCAGATATCAAGACCTGTTAATCATTGCAATTGGCATGGGGTAGAGCAGCAGTCACCATCCGGTGGTCTGTGGACCACTGGTGGTCCATAAGGTCTGAAAAGTTGGCAACTGCTGGTTTAAGGAAATCTTTGGAGCAGTGGTCGCCAACTGGTGGTCCATCAGGTCCGAAAGTTTGGTGGCCACTGGGGTAAAACATCATGACAGTTCTTATTTGTATTTTCCTAATGACCAGTGGTATTGAGCACTTTCTCATATGCTTAGTGGCCATTCATGTGTCTTCCTTTGTGAAGTATTTATTTAAATATTTAAACATTTTGTCCATTTTTTACTGGACTGCCTTCTTTTACTACATTTTTGAGTTCTTACATATACTAGATACCAATTCTTTGACAGATATATGTTCCATGAGTATTTTTCTCCCAGTCTATCTCTTACTTATTCTCTTAATGGTCATTATGAAATGGCCCTATTTTGCCTATGGTAATATTATTTGCTCTGTAATCTACTTTATGTAACATTAATATACCCTTCTAGCTTTTCATTGGTTAGTTATAGCAAGGCATATATTTTCTTTTATTTTTAACTTATTCATTTGTGTGTGTGTGTGTGTGTGTGTGTTTACGTATATATAATGAATTTCTTGTAGGCGTCATATATTGGCTCTTGTTTTTTAAATGTAATTTGTAATTTTTAAATGTAATTATTGATATACTTTAAATTTACCATCTAGCTCTTGTAAAATCTTGCCATTCCACCTGCCATGTTTCTATTTTTCTCTCTTTTCCTTCCTTTGTGTTAATTAATTTTACATGCTTTTATTGTATCTCTTTTGTTGGCTTTATACTTCTTTTCTTTGTGGTTGATTTAGGGTTTATTTGATACATCTTTAACCTAATAGTGTGTATGTTCAAGTAATATTATACCCCTTTATGTAGAGTATAAGAACCTTGTAACACAATATACTTCCAAAATAGCATAGAATGTTTGCTCACTCAATTTCTCTTTTGGTTTTTTTTTGCAATAATAAAAAAAAGTATAATATAAAATTGACCATCTTGGCCATTTTTAAGTGTATAGTTCAGAATAGTAAGTATATTTACATTGTTGTGAAATAGATCTCCAGAACTTTTGTCATCTTGCAAAATTGAAATGTATCCATTAAACAACTCCACTTTCACCCCTTCACCTAGCCAGTGATAACCACCATTCCATGTTTTATTTGTGTGAATTTGTATGAATTTGTATGAATTTGACTTTTAAGTGTAATTAATTAATATTCATCTCTAAAACCTGAAAACTTAATGTTGAAACTCATGACTCCCCCTAGTAACCCCCACCTTCCCCCCCCCCCCCCCCGCAAAAAACACACACAAAAAACAACCACTGGCACTGTTTGAGTTAGAAAATGTTGCAACTATCTTCAAACAATTAATAATTCTTAGTTCTATCAAAGGACATTACTGTGGAAGTTTCATGACTGTATAGTTGCAAAAGCAAGTAAGATTTTCAGCTGGGTAGCCTCATAAAAATCAGAGTGTTCTAGATTGCAATATAGTGACCGGCAAGAAGGTAGGGAGGGAGAGTGTGTGAGAGAGTGAGGGAGTGATAGAGGAGTGTGTGGACATGTGTGGTGTTTGTGTGTGTGTGAGCTAGGGACAGTTAGATCCTGCAGGTCTTCCAGGGTACTGCCAAACCGGGCAGTCTTAGACAGCAAAACCCTGCTGCCACCACAGACACTCCAGGGGCAGCCAGCACAGCACAGAGACCATGCCATCTTGAAAAACAGAATTGCTTGAGACTAGTATCCTAGCCTCACCACAACCCAATCTGGTCTCAGACACAAACCAGGACCCTACAGCCACTGGGGACAAAGACCTGCAACCACAGCTGCAGACCCACAGACACCAAGAATCCAGACATCCTGGCTCCAGATTTCTGTGAGTCACAGAGCCCAACCCCCTCCCCACAGGCCTGCTACAGCGGCATAGGAACTGCTAGACCCACTCTGCGCAAGGAGGCCTCCTGCCCACACAGGGCAGCTGTACTACCTGAATTTGAGCCTGAGTGCACAGACACTGGGAGGCTGTTTCCTGCAGCGCACACTTGCGCGACCAGACCCCACGCCAACACAGTGAGGCTGCACTACCTGAATTTGAGCCTGAGTGCACAGACATAGGGAGGCTGTTTCCCACAGTGTGCACTTGCGTGACCAGACCCCACGCCCACACAGGGCAGCTGTGCCACCTGACTTTGATTCTGGGCAAGCGCACATGGAAGTCTGTTTCCCACAGCACAGGAGTGGACCTCCCGCCGACACAGGGAGCTGTGCTACCCAGTCCCCCAAGCAGACCGGGGACCCTGATTCTCCACGTGAGAGGCAGCACTGAGTACCAGTGACTTGACTCTGTTTCTCATCGTACACACATGGGATCCCTGATTCCCAGCGCACGCACACTAAGAGCCAGTGACTCCAATTCTCAGCGCATGCACACACAGGGACCCTGATGCTTGCTTGGCACAAGGCCCCACCAAGCAACAGAGACTCTGATACTCGATTCTTGGTGCGGGCACAGGGGGACTCTGACTCCTGGCGTGCACTAGGGGACTCTGATTTTTGACACACACCAGTGGAGTTCTTGATTCTAGGTGTGTGCACAAAGCCACACTGAGCGCTGGTGACTCTGATCCTGGGTGAGCATGGCTCCCACCGACCCATGGTAGCTACAAGTCTTGGTGTCGGAGTTCTTCAGTGACACTCATGTGGCATGAAGCTCCCACTGCACATGGCCCAGGCCCCCACAACTAGTCATTTGAACCTTCTAGTGATAGCTAGAATGGGGAGACAACAAAACAATCCCCAGAGGAAAGAAAAAGAGGAATCACCAAGGAAGGAAATAAGTGAAACAGAGGCATGCAACATGACAGGAAAAGAATTCTGAGTAATGGTCATACAGTTCATAAACCTGATGGATGAGAAAATCAATAACCTATGCAAAAATCAGAAAGAAATCAAAAGTGATATAGCTACAATCAAAAACGCTATGTAAGGTTTCAACAGTACACTAGAAGAAGCAGAGGACTGAATTAGTGAGTTAGAAGATAAGGTAGAGAAACAAGCCCAAGCTGGACAGCAACTGGAGAAAAAAATTAGAAAGCAGGAAGAGAGCCTATGGGAGCTTTGGGACAACTTGAAACAAAGAAACATATGTATAATAGGGCTACCAGAAGGACAAGAAGAACAGCAAGGATTAGAAAATCTATTTGAAGAAATAATGACAGAAAACTTCCATGATATGGGGAAGAAAAAACTTACATAAGTACAGAGTCCCAAGCCAGATGAATCCCAAAAGACCCACACCAAGACACATCATAATTACAATGGCAAATGTTAACGACAAAGAGAGAATCTTAAAGTCTGCAAGAGAGAGACAGAGAGTTACGTACAAAGGATCCCCCATCAGATTATCAAATGATTTCTCAACAAACACATCAAGCTAGAAGGGAATGGAATGAAGTATACAAAGTGATGCAAAGCAAAGGACTGAATCCAAGAATACTCTATCCAGCAAGACTATCAATCAAATTGAGGGGGCAATCAGGAGCTTCATAGACGAAAAAAAAAAAAAAAAAAAAAAGGCTAAGGGAGTTTATCACTACCAAGCCAGCAATGCAAGAAATGCTAAAGGGAATGCTGTAAAAAGAAGAAACAGAAAGAGAGGAAGTAACACAGACATAAAGTACAGAAATGGCTACAAACAAGTACCTATCAATAATAACATTAAACATAAATGGATTAAATGCCCCAATCAAAAGACATCAGGTGGCCGAAACCGGTTTGGCTCAGTGGATAGAGCGTCGGCCTGCGGACTGAAAGGTCCCAGGTTCGATTCCGGTCAAGGGCATGTACCTGGGTTGTGGGCACATCCCCAGTAGGAGATGTGCAGGAGGCAGCTGATGGATGTTTCTCTCTCATCGATGTTTCTAACTCTCTATCTCTCTCCCTTCTTCTCTGTAAAAAATCAATAAAATATATTTTTTAAAAAAAAGACATCAGGTGACTGAATGGATAGGAAAACATGACTCATATATATGCTGTCTACAGGAGACCACCTCAGAACAAGGGACTCACACAGACTGAAAGTGAAGGGATGGAAAAATATCTATCAGACAAATGTAAATAATAAAAAAAAAAACCTGAGGTAGCAATACTTATATCTGACAAAATAGACGTCAAAGTGAAGACCATAATAAGACACAAGAAAGGCCACTTCATAATTTTAAAGGGATCAATACACCAAGAGGATACACTCTGGTAAACATTTATGCACCCAATGCAGGAGCTCCCAAATACATAAAAACACTTCTGAAAGATATCAGGGGAAAGATTGACAGCAATGCAATCATAGTAGGAGACTTTATTACCCCATTAACATCACTGGATAAATCCTCTAAACAAAAAAAAATAGCAAAGAAACATCAATCCTAAACAACTCACTAGATCAGATGGACTTAATTGACATCTTTAGAACATTCCACCCCAAAACTACAGATATACATTTTTCTCAAGCACACATGGGACATTTTTAAAGGTAGACCACATATTGGGACACAGGAAGAGTCTATACAAATTCAAGAGGATTGAAATCATGTCAA